ACAAACAAACAAACAAACAAACAAACACACACACACACACACACACACACACACACACACACACACACACACACACACACACACACACACACACACACACACACACACACACACACACACACACACACACACACACACACACACACACACACACACACACACACACACACACACACACACACACACACACACACACACACACACACACACACACACACACACACACACACACACACACACACACACACACACACGCACACACGCACACACGCACACACGCACACACGCACACACGCACACACGCACACACGCACACACGCACACACGCACACACAAACAAACAAACAAACAAACAAACAAACAAACAAACAAACAAACAAACACACACAAACACACAAACACACACACACAAACACAAACACAAACACAAACACAAACACAAAAACCAAGCACAAGCACAAGCACAAGCACAAACACAAGCACAATCACAAACACACACACACACACACACACACACACACAGACACACACACACACACACACATTCACATTCACATTCACATTCACATTCACATTCACATTCACATTCACATTCACACACACACTCTGAACACACACTGAATACACACTGAACACACACTGAACACCCACTGAACAACACACGACGCACCAACCAACACATCACACACACACACACACAAACACATGTGCGGCGCGTGCGCTCACACATGCATAGGTGTATATACATATACACATGTGGATATATGATATATGTTAAATACATGCATGGTTCACATGCACGCACGATAAGTGACACCACCTAGCAGCTTCTTCGCTTCCCAAACATGCTTGAGGCATTCCCCAAACCGAGGGGCGTGGGTCATGTACTTGCGGAGGTCCACCTTCTCCGGCACACGCTTCATGCCTGCCTTGGGTCTGAAGTCCGCGACCTGACATCGTGCTTCTCATCCATGGCCGGGAGGGTTCTTGCTGAATGGAAAATGGTTCGCCAAACTCCCTAAGCTGATAACTACCCCTGAACCCCCAAAGCCAGGAAGAGTTTTGGGGCTGTTTTAGATAGTTGGCCTATTCTTAATCCACTCATGCTTGTTTGTGCCCAGTTGGCCGTTCTCTTCCTGAGGAATCTTTTTTTGGGCTATGCACAAATATGAACCCTGGTAGTGACGCTTGGCTTATTGGTCAGGTCCTGTCCCGAGTACATAAGGCCGGACGATTCCGCCCTTTTTGAGGATCCATAAGGCTCCACTCTTCCTAAAGCCCTCTTGCGCCTCTGAGGGCTTGCTTAAGGCAGCCATGTCGCCATGTCGCGACGAATGCTTGAGCAATAGCAACATCATGTGATGTAACATGGTATGAGAACAGTTGACCACAATGACACCCAATACGATAATTTAACAGGAGATGGACATATTAGAACTTCACTGTGTAAATAAGTCGAAACAAACACACATCATAGAGGTGATGCAACATATTCCAGAGTTGGAGAACAACCCAGGAAAATACGACTTCATTGTCTCTCCGATTTCCGCGAATGGCTTCTCCGGCCTTCTCCGGCTCGACCGCGTGCGGCACCGCGCCGAAAGGAGCGAAGGTGCGGCCATCCAAGACAACCTTCCTTAGAGCAAAACAAGAAAAACACATATCGGCTCGACGTCGGATTTTTTTTTCCCGGGCAGCACGGATTTCGACACACAAACCGGTGTCTCGTTCGGGTTGAAGCTCACCCGATCCCACTCGAGCGGGGGCGTTTGTGGCCATGCCCCGCAGAAAAAGCCGACGGAGGGTTGCGAGTTCGTAGATTTGTTGATCCTGAGGCTGCGGCTTCGTTCCTTGACGCGCGGCATCGATCAAGAACGGCAGGACCTCAATGGCCAACAAACGTGTTACCAGGGTCACTGTTGAGTCACTGGATTCCCCTCCCAAAGCAGCAGTGCACCAGCGCTTTCCACTGTTTTCTGCCACTTTTGGAGGTCCAAAAACCGGGGAAACCGCGGGATATGCGTCCCACGCATGAGTTCTGAGGGCTTCCACCCGAGGTCCCCACCGTTCCGGTCCAGGTCTCAGGGCCCACGGCGGTGGAAGCAGAGCCTCCCATGCTGTGCCTGAAAGGATGCGCGTCTGCTGGGTTCCATGGCTTTACCATAGCAGAGAACCTTTTTCCCTGAGAAACCTGATGACTTTTTCACTGGATGGGTTTACCACCAAGTCATCCCTCCCCTCCCCCCATAGACCAAATAGGGGTCTGCGTTGTTTTGGGTACTCGTTTTGGGGTCGGGTTAAAGGGAAAGCAAAGGGATACCCCACCATTTTGGGGGTCCCTAAAAAAGACAGCCATATTGTCTGGTTTAGGGCCTGCCGTGTGGTCCCCAGATTCGGCCAACCGTGTGGTCCAGAGATTCATGCAAAGCCAGCATGGGCAAGCCACATGGGCTGGTCTAAACCCATCTGAGGGAAACCATCCCAGAAAAATCCAGAAAACTGAAGTCAGCTGGGTTCCATGAATTTACAACTATCAAAGGTGAACCCAAGAACTGCAAGGTTAGTTGCTGGATTGTTAGCCCCTCTTTGGCAACCAATCACGCGGCACGCGGCACGCGCCGGACATTGAAAGTGAGGCCTTGGACAATCAAAGTGCAAGCCACTGCAAAAGTTTGAGCCTATGGCGGCGGGAGCAGATCGATTCCTGGTTGCTGAAATTGAAATTCTTGAATGGCACTGTGAAAACTGGGAAGGTCTGGCAATTCACTGGGTGTTGTTTCAGGTTGCTTTACACATTTCGCTGACCATATGAAAAACACCTGGGATCTGCATCAATCCCGTCTGACTCATGGCAGTTGCGGGTCACTGCGGGGTGAAGCGAGCGCACCTCTTTCCGAATGACATCCTCGGCAGCAGCTGAGACTGAAGGCCGGGCTGCAAAGGATGCCATCCCATGGAAAGGCTCTCACTGGGGCAACATCTACCACGGGCACACGACATGTGACTACAAATTGATCCTCAAGTCTCGGAAGGTTTCGGAAGCACACTGGCCAAAAAAAAGGAAGTTTTGTGACGGCATCTGTCTGTCGTGGTCGGGGCTGCAAATCACATGCGCTGACAAAGGACAAAGCCAAGCGGCAGATGATACTGACATCTCGTCGGGGTCTTTCAGGCTGGAACCCTTGCCGAAGCGGCCCTGGGCGGAGGCGAAAGAATGGATGACCCAAGTCGTGCAGCCGTCTTCGCTGGCACGGCTCGGCCAACCAGCTGTTTCAACATGCGCCCAAAAAAAAACATTAAGTTGAAACATGTTGGAACACTCTAATCGACTCTGCAGCCAAAGCATCAACATCGTAGAATCTAAGGAATACACAAACATGTGCCTTGCAGTTTCACTCCATGAAGATCCCCGTGTCCGCGCAGGGGCAAATCTTGGGACCCCATCCAGATTCTGTTTGTTCATTTCGGTGCACGTCTTGACTCACAGCCATAGGGGTGGTTGTTAAAACAATGGATCCGGTGGCAACGAATCCGCATCTACATTTATTGAAATTGGGAATCTGACATACAGCGCATACAACTAAACTCTACCAAGAGTGTAGGGTCTCTCTCTCCTTCCAAAAGAATAAGTAATAATTAACACACACACACACACAAACCAGTTGACCCCCCCACCTAGGCAGCCCTCCCGGGCCAACCGCGGCATGCGTTTCGTTTAAGCGCGCCTTGAACTTCTCCACGAGCGCGTCCTTGAGGTCCTCGCGCCGCTTGAGGTCCATGAGCTTCGCCTCAGGAAGAACCATCCCAGCCCCCCCCCCCCCCCGTGGGCCAACTAGGGGTCTGCGTCGTTTTACGTACTCGTTTGGGGGGATTGGCCGTCGTTTTGGCCGAAAGTCGAGCCACTTTTTGCTAAGGGCTGGCGCTTGCCAAGGGCTGGTGCTTGCCGAGCGCTCGGCGCGGCGCGAGTCCGACATCCGGGAAGCATTGGACCTGGCTAGGCCGCCCCACGCCCCAGGCGTCAAGCGTCAAGTGAGTGTTCCCGAGATTCGTATGGGCCTCCCGCCATATGTTGTGCAATCCCGTCTATTGACCAACTGTCTTCCACACTGCCGAATCACAAAGATTGGCTCTGGGGACAATCCCAGAGCTTGCCACTTGCTTTGGGGCAATGCCCCCAAAGCCATTTCTTTTAAAGAAGGGGGGCGAAGAGGCAAAGCTGGAGCCCTGCCAAGCAGAAAAATACTCAGACACATTTGGCCCGGTTTGTGGGATCTGAGCCAAGTAGCTGGGCTGTGCCCAGGCGCTCCTCGCTGACAGACATCGGGTCCTCGATCCAAGGCTGGGGTGCGTCAACTCGCTTCCTGGGTTGGGTGGACTGGCCAAACCAGTCAGCACTTGTCATTTCCAAATGGCCCCCTTTTTCAATGGAAGGGTCTGCCTCAGGAGGTCTTCCCTAATATCCAAGCATTAAGATCAAATTGTCCTTCAAAAAAAATTGAAGTCCATGAACTCACAGAGTGCCACCATTTAACAAAGAACACATGGGACCTACAACTGGCCAATGTCTCGATGGATCTCTTTGGAGGACTGGGGATGTCGTTGCTTGCCAAAAGTCAACCTCAGCAGCCCTCACTACAGGACGCCCAGATCCCGAGGCCCACGCGTGGCTCGGCTTACGCGGCAGGTGAGGGGAGCGAAACGCAACTCCGCATCAACTGGATCCGCTGTAAGCAGCGCGGGCAGGGCGATCGAGTGACGGGACTGTCTTCACATTTGAGCAGTTGTGGTGGTAACTGGCAGTGGTACAAAAAGGTTGCTGGCCAAATACCCCCTTGTCAGGCTGAGCTTGAATTTCAGGTCCCAAGTATATCGGCGAGTCATAAACGTCTGCAAGCCAACCAGCCACCAGCCAGCCCCAACCAGACATTCCAGCTTGGCTGTGTGCTCCCGTGGCTGGCTTCAAGATGCTTCAGTCGCCCAATGTCGACTGGGCCCCCGACCAGGACCTGTGCGCAGAAGTGGGCGCCCCTGGCAGCTTCGCTGATGCCTGAGGCGGCGCTTTTGCGCCGCTTGCCCCATGGCGGCAGCTTTGAGGGCAAGCGGCAGCTTGCGGGGTCAAGAAATGCGAGCTCGCATGGAAGGGGATCTGGGAGCGCCACAGCGCCACATGTATGAGGATACTTGTTTTTGCATCTCCAGGGGTATATTCGGGGCAAATGAGAATTGGGACGGTCCTGTGCCAGCAGGCCAGAAGGCAAGTTAAGCCGTTTAGTTTCATTCTCGAATTGACCCCCTGTTCTAGTGAACATGGTTTCGTTAATTAGTCTCTACGTGTCAGTGTCAATTTCCAAACGGATGCATCATGTACACCCGCCCTATGACTACATTCTATAGATTTTCCAAACAAACACTTCGTCCAGTGCCAGATTCCTACTCATTTGCTCCACAAACAATTTGAATAGTGATTGGGAGATCATACTAGGAATGCTGCCATTTTGCTGCTAAGGGGAAGTGATGAGTTCTGCCAAGCTGAGGTTGCAACTCAGCCTCCTATCCAGCACCTGGGCACGAGGCAGAAACGCACACCAACCAACGGCAGGCCGGCGACAAGCCCAAGACCGAAATTGACCGGGTCTAAAGCTAGCCACCGGACAACGCGGTGCACGGGCACAAGCAGCAACTACCGCCCAAGCAAACACCCAGCACTGGGGGATGTTAGTCCCCAGCGGCCACGCCGCGATTTTCGCAACGAAACCGTCGCCGAAGCAACTGGCAAAGTGCCTGGCAAGGCCCTTCCAGGCCATACCAAGCCCTGAGAAAGACGCATTGGTCCAATGCGTCACATCCCTCGCGCAGGTGGGCAGGCGGGAACATCTGTCCTCAGCTCTGGGAATGACTGGCGCCCTGAAACCAGGAGTTGCGTGACGGGCTTCCTTGCGAAGGTTCTGCCGTGGGTTGCTTCGCTTCCCGGCTGTGAATTCTGGCTCTTTCCAGACCTCCCAACTACCCAACCTGCAACCTGCTCTCGCGGCCTTCAGCCAGCTGAGTTTGCCAGGCATTAAATTTCGCGGGGCCTGTTTACCTTGCTGGTGCTCAGCAGGGAATGAGGGAAGCACCTTACAAACCATCCAACTGGTGGTTTCCATTAAGGGGACCCCTGGGTGAAATCCCTCATTCCCTCCTGAGCACCAGCAAGTTATTGCGCCCCCCAACTGATCGGCCTCTGACATGAGCACATTCCTTGAAGGACCTGCTCGCTTTTTTCAAGCCTTCGCTGCTTTGCAGCGCTCGGCTACTTCCTCTCCAGGAGGGCCAATTCAGACTTCACCTGCTTCAGCACAGCTTCCGCGATGGCTGTGGGCGCTAGGCACACCAGGTTCTCCAGCGCCACCTTGCGGCTCACCTGAGAGGGATCTGGCCGCGACCCAGGGGCCGTGGCCATGTGGGAAGTCAAGGGGTGGCTGGCCTGATCGAATTTGCAAGCAAGGAGCCTGGGAAGGATGTGGAGCTGCTAGTGGATTCTGGCGCGAGGTGATGTGATGATTGCCTCTTCTTTGTTGAAGTCTCTGTCAACATCCCACTTGGTTCCCAGGCGCTGGTCTTAGTCTTTCAAAGTTCCACTCTTATCCTTGCCATTTCGGTCGCTGGCTCCGGCTAAAAACAAAGTGCTGACTCCGACGGATCAGCGCTTGGCTCGCTCCGGCCTTTCGCCTCTCCAGGATCTCCAGCTTCGCCTTGAGCGCCTCTGCTCGCCTGTCACGGGGACCCGCACCGCTCGAGTTGCCAGTGTACCCCGGCATCCTTCTGGCTTTGAACCACCCAATGGTTTCCATAGGAAATCATAGGAAGCTGTGTAAAGCTGTGTGCATCCAGTCCAAGCCAACTTGAATCCCAATTCGCGCAAACTGCATATGCGGCGCTTGCTGGGTGCTCACATCTGCTCACACCTTGGGAATACCTGAATTCGCCGAGCTGCTCCGTCGAAGCCAAGTTGGACCATGTCTGCAACGCGCTTGGCCCATCTTTGCTCAGCTCGAGGAGACCTTCACAGAAACTGAGGCACATAACTCTCACCTTCTGCCCATCCTGACCCTCTGCTGCCTTCAACCTTTGCATCTCATTCAAGACTCGGGAACGAAACGGCTTCCACGAAGGCTGTCTGGGACTCCCACTAGGGCAGGCGAACCATCCAGCCTGGGGAGACCTTGGTGTGCTGCAGCTTCATGGTGACTTGGGTCAGGTCCGGCGGAAGCTTCGCTAGGAAGGAGACAACGCCTCTCGCACAAAAATCACCCGACCCGCTGGGGCATTGGCCCTCACACCCTGGTTCGAACACTGCAATCTGCCGAAAGCCAAACCCCTCTCCTAAACCGACACTTCCCTTCAACCGTCCGAAGCCTCACCCACGGCGAACGATCTGACCCATGAAGCAAGAGCGATTGATTGGCACATCCGCTGCTCTTCCACCCCTCTGGGAGTTTAATGCAGGGGTGAAAGACAACAAATGCATGCTCCTGAAGTCGCATTGACTTGGACAACCAAGGCAAATGTGTGATTCTCTAAGGAACGCAGCAAGGAGCTTCTTAAAAATGGGCAGCCCCAAAAACACACATTCCCTTGAGGCCTACTTAGGCAAAACATGCGGAATCCCCTACCAGCCACCCAGCCACCAAACCAATACACTCGCATCCACTAACATGGAACCTGACTGAGGGATACTGGACGGCGATGTTCCTTTAAAAAAGGGCTTTGTTTGGTGGTTCCATGTTAGTGCACCAGAGGGTCATCAATCAAATCAATCAAATCAATCAAATCAATCAAATCAATCAAATCAATCAAATCAATCAAATCAATCAATCAAATCAATCAATTCTATCAAATCAATCAAATCAATCCAATCAATCAAATCAAATCAAATCAAATCAAATCAAATCAAATCAAATCAAATCAAATCAATCAAATCAAATCAAATCAAATCAAATCAATCAATCAATCAAATCAAATCAAATCAAATCAAATCAAATCAAATCAAATCAATCCAATCCAATCCAATCCATCAATCAATCAAATCAAATCAAATCAAATCGAATCAATCAAATCAAATCAGTTCAAATCAGTTCAAATCGGATCGGATCGATGGATCCATCGATCGATCGATCGATCCATTAATCAATCAAATCAAATCAAATCAAAATCAAATCAATCAATCAATCACTCAAATCAATCAAGCAATCAATCAGGCAACCAACCAACCAACCAAATAAATAAATGTGTAACGTAAGCAAATACATCAAGCCATCCAACCATTCAACTCCACCAGGCCAGTTCCCCCTGACCTCGGTCTGTGACGCTGTTCCCGGACACGTTCAGCACGAGGCCCCGCAGGCGCCGCGGCAGGGCGTGGGCCACGGGCCCCAGGCGCGGGTCGTCCAGGCCGCTGAACCTCGCGGATTGGATCGAGAGATCGAGACGCGAAGCGGGGGGTGGAACTCTTTCTCGTCTCTCGTTTCCTTTTTTTTGTTTTGTTTTGTTTTTTTTGATTTGTTTCTGTCTTCTTGTTTCTGCTGTCTTGTTTCCTGCTTCTTCTTCTTCTTTTTCGGCTTTCTTGTTTCTTTTGTTTTCCTGCTTTCTTGTTCAGTGTCTTTCTTTTTGGTCAGTTGGGTTGGTTCTTTATCTCTTTCTTCTCTTTTCTGGCTTTCTTGTTCAGTTGGGGTGTTCTTCTTTCCTGTAACCTTTTTCTGGGTGGTCACTTGGTTTGGCTCTCTTTTCTTTGTTCCGGTTTCCCTCATCCCCCCCCCCAAAAAAAAAAGGCGCGGCTTCACGGTTCAGGTCCTGAAAGCATCCAGGATCATCCAGGTGGGTTTGCCTCCTCGCATTGCCCAAACGGCCCCTGGGCACCCAAGTTGAACGTGGACCACCCCAAACACTGGCCCCAACGGTTGATTACTAGGGAGTCCAGCCCAAAAACACGAGGCTTTTTAAACAAAATAATAATAAAAACAAAAAATGTGGTGGACGCAAGACATGGGGAGGTGGTTCTGCTCGAGCATGCCCCCAAGCCTAGCCCCTGGCGCTTCAGTTCTTGATCTCTCTCCTGAAGTTCCCCCCCCCCGATAGAGAAAACACCAAGCTACTCCTTCCTACTGTCCTGGTGGGTCGGAGGTTATGGGGGCGCAACCTCTTATGTTCTCTTAGGACAAAGCAGGGAATGAGGAGGGAGTGTTCGTCATAAACCATCCTCTATGGCTTCCTTTGAGGGAATTTCTGGGTTGCTTCCCCACTTCTCGCGCCAGCAAGAAACATGGTTCGAACCCCCGAAAACCGAAAACCACCAGGGGGTCCTAACCCGACCGCCGCAGCTGCGGCTTTTGGCTTTCCGAGCGACTGGAGGTCCAGCTTCAGCCATTCCAGGCCTGGCGGCAGGCTGTGCCTCAGCCGGAAGCTTCACCCAGCTCGGCTCCTTTTGGTTGGGGTCCCTGGATCTCATCAAACGTTGATCAATTTGCGGGTGGGTCCCATGGAACGTGCCACTTTTGGAGGTTCCAACAACCCTGTTGGAGGTTGGATGGTTCTCCTCTACAAGAACCAGGGGTCAAATCCCAAAATCACCAATCCAAACGGGCAACCTGCAACTTGACATTCTACCCTGCTAAACCCAAAAAAAAACAAAAACGGGCCGGCCGGCTCTTGCAAGCACTAAGCCAAGAGGCAGGGCCATGTCCAGAATCGCCTTCTTGGACATGTCGCAGCCAGATAGGTTCAAGCTGAGAGACTTGCGCCACCAATCCCCTGGCACCAGGCTGCAACTGGTGCTGCCGCGAGCCACGGCAGTTGCAAAGTGTCAACTTCCATGCGCGCGCCTTGGATGGCCTTGGCCATGTTGCTCAGCATTAACCTCGAAAAAGCTTCCAGCAAAATCGGTGCCACTATTCCCATGCCTCTCGTGCTCTCTCTCTCTCTCTCTCTCCCTCTCTCTCTCTCAATCTCCCTTGACCTGTGCAAAGCTCAGCCCTAAGAGACAGCCAAGTGGCATGTAACTCTTCTCCTCTGTAGCCTGTGCAAGCACATTCTGCCAGAAGATCAAGAGGAAGAAGCTGCGCAACCGCCTGTCAAAGATCTTCACTGTGCTCTTCTGCCGCTCTCCGAAGAGCAATCTGGGAGAGCACTGACAAACCTGAAGTATGGAATCTCAAGGGTGCTTGATGAGCTCGGCACAGCCCTAGGAGTTTGCCACAACCAGTTCAAGCACATGCATGGCCCTGTTTGCTTAACATAGCTTGCTGCAAAGTGAACCCTTGCATAGAGGAAACAAATGTTCCAAAGTATCAACACATAGAAAACCATGTTGCGCGGAACATTCCTCATTTGCAATCCTGCCATACGCCTGGTCATCTTCTGCCAGCCCTCCTCCTCGAGCCCCGCCAGGCATTCCAGCAAGCGACGCTCCTCCTCCTGCAAGGCATGTCCAACATGTCACGACCCAAACCCGGTAAACACAAAGGAGCCGCTTCCCGTTCTGCCAAACATGCCCCTTGCGGACCTCTTCGCGCGACATTGAAAC